CCCCCCCCTCCTGGAAATAAAGAGGGGAGGGGTATCAATCTGGGCGGAGGGTCTTCCGCTCCAAAACCTGCTCGTAAACATCTCCGATCCTGTGAGAATAACCAGTGAGTGGGGTAGGTAGGCGCATGCACGGGCATCCCCTCCTCTGCCGCAATCTTGCACCGGATCAGAGTATGACGGCAAAATCACGCCAGCACTTTTTTGACTCGGCTCTCGCAGTAATTTGCGGTCAGATGCATCCGTGGGGGGTCGTCATTGCGGGTAGATGCATTGACGAAAGTGCCAGTATGAGTACACTCTGAGAGTCAGCAGCCACTCGCAAAACATGGGGTGCAATCAACGCTCCAGACGATCGTGGAGGCTGTCTTCTCACCATCGGGATCGCCCTACACGTCAAAGCGGGGGGGTGAATGGATATCTGCTGTGTACAATATTAAAAAAAGGTAAAAAAGCGGGCGGGTGCCAGCGGCCGAGCCGGGGGAGGAAAACCAGATTCGTTTGGCGGGAAAAGGAGAAGAAGGTCGATATCTGGCCATCACTGGGCTACTTCGAGAGAGGGGATAGCGAGTGAGAGAGTGATGCAGCCGCGGCTTGAACGATGCCACGTCAATGACAGAACACAATTAAAAAAAAGCGAGTGAGCCATCAATCGATCTCTCGCCAGAACTCCACCAACCTCGATCCCCTGACCATCAGACTCTACTCTTACATTTACACAATCCGTCCGCCCATTTATTCTCTTTCGTTTTCTTTTCTTCCCTTTAGGCACGATTTTCAGAGCAAGTGAACCATCAGTCGATCTCCCGCCAAAACTTTTCAAACCGAATGAGCCATCAATCGATCTCCCGCCAAAACTCCAACCCCGATTCCCTGACCATCAAACCTGTCTACCCTTACATTACAATCCGCCCGGCCCATTTTTCTCCATCATTTTCTTTTTCTTCCCTTCAGACAAGATTTCCGAAGCGGATTAGCCATCAGTCGATCTCCCGCCAAAACTCCCAAAACCCCGATCCGCTCACCGTCACCCTATTCTGTGCTCTTAGGATCCGCCAGCCCCATTATTCTGACTTCTTTTTTTTCTTGCTTCCTTCTTTTATTTTCTCCTGCATATAGCCCTTAATAGATATTTTACCTGTTCTTTTTTATGGCAAGATAACAACACGCTGAGCTTGTACTGTTCATTAACAGATGTGCGCGTTTGGAAACCATTTCTGGGCCATCGTTTGTCACTATTTTCACTTTCTTTCTCCTTCTTTTTTTTCCGGGGGCGGGGGCGGGGGCGGGGGGAGGGATAAAGAAACAGGGAGCAAGGTGTTTCACAGGATCGTAGACGATTTGCTCGAAATAGCATACCATACGCATAGCAGTCCAAGAAAATGAAAACTCCAGCCTTCACCCGAATACAACGCATGGGCATTACTGTGGCCTACGGATTAACCTTTGATTCAGGGAGAGGACGGCGACAAAAATTATAATAATGCTTCTGAAACTTTCAATACACAAAACAAAGGGTCGGGCGGAGAGGGGAGGGGGGTGGGGGGAATCACCGATGACTCACGGCATAAAGAGGGGAGAGTAAAGGAGGCGAATGTAGAGTATCAATACGCCAGAAAAAGCAATCCGAAAGAAACGGACTTGGTATCACTAAACACACGCATCACCCGACCGTGAATCTGGGCCAGAAGACAGCTGGATACGGGAGGAGACTTTACCTAGGTCAAGTCTCCTCCCTCACCCAGAAGTCCAGTATAATAACCTGGACCACTTCTTACCACGTCTTTTCCATTTCCACCCAATAGAGCGGCATTACACACACACACACACACACACACACACACACACACACACACACACACAC